GGAGGATGTTGTGCCGGCCATGCTTGATGAACCTCTCGGTCACATCAGAGCTCTCGTGCCAGGCTGAGCTGAGGCTAAAGCTGGCCTTTGCCTACTCAAGGCTCAGGAAGCAGTCTGAGTCGTCTAGCTGCACGCCAAAAATCATCTCAATGGACAGGGAGTCCTCTCCGTTCTGTAGCTGGAGCCTGCAGGAGCGTGTAGCAGGCAGCACCGTCAGCTGCCAGCGGAGGGACTGAGGCACAAGCTTCCATGCGTCTTTCACCAGCGTCTGGAACCAGCAGGCAGTTTTCTCGATGTCTAAGTACGAGTTGGTGCAAAGGGTGCTGAGGAGGCTGGGGCGCTGACGTTTCAGCTCATCCGCGCTGTGGTGGAGGAAGCATAGTACGTCCTGCACCAGTAACTCCCACATGCACATGCACTGCAAGTGCACATGGAGGCAGGAAGCGCTGGTCAGCATGTCCTTCGTGGTGCCCAGCTCCAAGGAGAAGGTGTGTCCGGGGGGAGGCTGCAGAGGCACGAGCAGCTGGTAGAGGATATTGTCCTCCTGGTTACTCCACCCTTCATAGACACAGCCCAGCCCAATGGCTGGCAGCAGTCGTGGCTCGAAGTTATTGCCGGAAAGTCTTTGGCAGGCACTAAGAAGCTCTTCTACCAGCTCCTCCACCAACATGCTTGTGTCAGCCATGTATGGCACTGGCCACTGGCTGCAATGGCCCACACACCTGCCCAGATCCCACGTGTCACCGGAGTCGTCGTCATCGTCGTCGTCTTCTACCTCTTCATCCTCCACCTCGTCGTCCTCCTCCTGAAATCCGGGTCTGCCGCGCTGGCAGCCGATTCCCATGTTACAGCTCCTTTTTCTGCTCCTGCCGCAGAGGCACAGGAGCAGGAGCAGGAGCAGGGCTGCTGCCCCAAGAGCGGTGGCCCAGAACCACCATTGCTGGAAGGCGGCCAGGAGCAGGACTTTCCCAGCCACCCAGTTCTGATCCTGGATCTGCTCTAGATCCTGCAGCAGCTGAGTCATCTTCCAGCTCAGCTGCTGTGCGAGGTGCTGCACGAGCCTGTGCATGGCTGTATGCGGCTCTTCACCCGTCCGCAGCGCGTTGTGGACAATGCCCAGCGCAACTCAGGCGAGGGAGACAATGACAGCTGAGACCTGCAGGAGAGGTAAGAGAAGGGCTCTCAGTGGGGCTGCGCCGGAGGGAGCTGGCGGTGGTGGGGGGAGCGTGGGTGGGAGCTGCAGGGACCTGGGGCCAGGTGGGAGAGGGGCCAGGGAGCTGGGAGGCCCCCAACCACAGCGGTGGCAGAGTGCCCTGCCCAAGGTGCTCCCCCGAGTGTCTGGACCCTCACTGCAGGGTGAGACGCCCCCCAGGGTCCGGCGTTCCTTCCCCAGCCCCCGTCCAGCTCAGCCTCCCCCCGGCATGTGTACTTACCGATGGCCCGAGCCGCACTGCCGCAGCCGTGCCCTCTGCTGCCTGATGAAGGCCCAGACATTGTGACCCGCCCCGGTGATGTCACAGGCAGCAGAGCCGCATCACCGTTGTTGGGTGAGCCAATGGGTGAAGGCGCCCCACTGGGCCTGTTGCTTGCATCACCGTTGTTGGGTGAGCCAATGAGTGGAGGCGCCCCACTGGGCCCGTTGTTTTCGCACAGAGAAGGACTGGTGGGTGACGTGATGGTGTGAGGCCACCTTGGGCGTAAAGGGGAGGATGGCAGAGTACTGGTGGGGCCCCCTTCTAGCTCAGCCTCCCCCTGCCTGTGGTCTACCCGCTTTTCTGATGTGCACTGCCGCAGGCATGCCCTCTGGTACCTTGGTGACAGCCCCACAGAGCGCTCCTGGGCCGCATAGAGTCACCGTGGCCTGCAGCTGTGTCAGAGTGTCCGAGTAGGCCTTGGACGGGCCAGGATCAACCTCAGCTAACCCCCACAGTTGTCAATATGTCCTAGAGCAGAATGTGTGATGTTTTCTTCTTGGTGCCAAATGGAGGCTGGCGCGTGGTGAAACAAAATGATGTCCAACCACCACGATTGCATAGCTGTGGCTGAAACACGGAAGTGATATAACCTCTCTGTGTGGACACTTACACCCAGAGAGACCTCTCAACACGTGAACAAGCTTCTTAGTCCCAAAGTTGCAATGAAATTCTGAACTTGGAGGTCCCCCTAGGGCCCGAAGGTAGATGTGGGTGTCATGGGTGTAACTGTGTACAGCTGGAGGATCCTTTCAAGTGAGTGGCTGTGTTAGAAGAGGAGCTTAACAGTCATCACAGTATCTGGATATCTGAGGAAGAGATCGATCTGTGGTATTGTGCTCATTCACAAGCTGAGCGACAGCCCTGCCTTTAGGCTTTGCAAAGGGAAGGCAAGGTTGCTTCCAACCCTGAGCTGACAGGCTCAGCTCACTCACAAGATAAAGGAGACTGGACTCTTGTTTCTGCTTGGGGCAGGAGGGGAAATCTTCCCTTTCCCCCATCAGCCACGCTGTCGGCACCTCTGTAGAAATGTATTTAAGAAAGGGAAAAGGCTGCACAGCAGTGAGAATTGATGAAAAAACTGTGAGAAAGAACCCTGCAGACACCCAGGCCAGACAAGCAGGGGATGCGCTCTGAGGGCTGGGGCAGGTATTCCCCTGCAGCCCATGGAGAGGACCATGGTTAAGGAGATATTTACCTGCAGTCCATGGGAGAGATCACGGTAGAGCAGCTATATCCCTGCAGCCCATGAAGTGAACCACAGTGGAGCCAATTTTCTAAATGAATAAAATGCCATTTTGAAACAAATTTTAAAATTTTGCTTAGAAAATCTCCTGGGGGAAGTTTTATTTTATATAAAATTAATTTCTTGGCTTGACCTTTATTCATGAAAAAATTTCACACAGAATCACAGAATTACAGAAGGGTAGGGGTTGGCAGGGACCTTTGGAGATCATCTTGTCCAACCCCCCTGCCAGAGCAGGTTCACCTAGAGCAGGTAGGACAGGAATGCATGCAGGTGAGTTTTGAATATCTCCAGAGAAGGAGACTCCACCACCTCTCTGAGCAGCCTGTTCCAGTGCTTTGTCACCCTCAAAGTAAAGAAGTTTTTCCTCATGTTCAGATGGAATTTCCTGTGTTCTTTCCCCTAGAACCTAGTTAACTGTCTCGTTGACTGTTCTTTATAACAATTGCCATATTCTTTTACCAATATTTCAAAAACTATAGCAATTTGGCAGTTTAAACTCTGAACTGGAATGGAAACTTTATGGAGAAAGTGAACCAAGCCATTGGGAGATAAGGGCAATTTTGTTGCCTAACATCTCTCTCTAGGCGATGATGAATCATTAAGGCCTTCACCTCTTGAAAGATAATAGAGAGACTGTGAGAAATAGTGAATATGAAAGAAATCACAGATCAGTAAACAGCAAAATAAAAACACGTTGTCAAATCAAAGTCTCTGACCCCGGATATTTGCAAAGGAGACCGGGCTTCAAACTGAACTTACAGAACTGTAGGGCAGTGTTACTTAGGAAAAATTCAACAGCTGAATTCCTACTGTATTCATGTTCTCAGTGATTTTTAGGCAATTGCTTTGGACTGGGTTTGGACATGAAGATTGATTAGCTTTCTTCCAATATTCATCTTATCAGGAAACCCAGATCTGCAGTACATGCTGTTTTGGGTCCAAATTGTCCTCCAGAAGATAACTGAGTTCAACCTTTTACTTAGCAGACAAGGCCACATTTCAAGAAAAGTTTCACTCCTTGATTCTATGGTCTTGGATTTTTCATTCTGTTTTTCATCGATTAGGATCTGAGTCTAACAGCTCAGGACAGATGCTTAAAAAATCCCATGCCAGGATCACTGCCTATTGAGCTGAATACATTGATTCCACTTTCGTCCAGCATGGGTGAATTCTGCTCCATGTGTTTCATCATGAGGGGAGATGACCCCTTTATTCACTTGGAGTCCCTGTCTTCTTCATATGTGGATGCAATACTCGTCATGCAGATCACTAAAAAATTAGGTCCTCCGTGTTGGAAAACCACATTTTGGGAGATGAACAGCCAGTTAAGCAGCTTGTGTATTGGCTTTAAGTGCTACCAACAAAGAACAACCATCAGCACAAAGAAATAAAAGGCGTTTTTCTTCTTAAAAAAGCTGACTGCACAAGAAAAATTTGTTGCAAATAACAGGTTTTGTTTGTGTACACAAATTTTTGTACAATACATTTCAATCTTCATACACAGTCATGTGATAGGGGAGCTCTGTCCTTATTTGTCACACTCTGTCTATCTTGTCCTACAGAGATCTGCCCATGAACCTTCTATCTGATTTATAGCAACCCCAGATTGCTCCATTTCCTGAACTGAAGCACATACATGTATACCATAATGCTATAATGGTACTGAGGTGTACTTACAGCAAAGGTAAAGATCCATATGAAGACTGAAGAGGAATATGAGAAACATTCCATGAGAAATTTTGAATAAATAGTCTTTTTATGTACATGCTGGAACTCCTTGCTGCTCGGACTGCTGTATATCAAGAGCAGCTCCGCTGACAACAGTGCAACAACTACTGCAAGAAGAGCTTAAGTGGGAGAAAAATAATGTGTTTATGCGTTTCTATTCCTGATAGTTTTTACTGTGAAATGTGATTGAAACAAGGAGGAATCACTGCTTTCTACTGTCTGTTCTTCCTGAAAACGGTGTAGCACAACATATAACAGGAGTAAGATAACACGACTCAGTCAAAACAACTAATGTCCATTTGAAAAGGGAATAGCATTTGCTGTGTTTTGTAATATCCCAGCTAAGATGAAGAAAAAGATAGCAGACTGCAGAAATATACCCTGTATTATATAAAAGAACCAAGAGATTAAAGGCTGACTGTGATCTTGTTTGCCTAAGATTTAAATTGATGACTCTCATAGGTATCAGTGGGTTTAAACTGCATTTACAGTGTCAGAGAGGAATATTCGGTCATAAAATCTGAGGTCTGACATTGTGTTAAAGAGAAAAACTAAAAGCCCTTCGATGTTCTGCAACATGATAGACTTTCCATTTGTTTTTGACAAGTTATTCAATTACTTGATGCCTCAATTTTTCCAGTAGTAAACTGGAGATAAGACTTTTGTGAGTGTCACAGTGCCACTGAGAAACTCAATACTCCTGAAGTGATTTGAGTGAAATGATAGGCACTAAAAATAGATTTTTGTATTGACATTCTCTGCATGCAACATCAAGATACCAACGTTTTCCCTCCATATGCTAGTTAAGTAGAAATCTTTAAAAATCTTTTTTCCACTTAAGATAAGCTCATTTATTGCTCCCTGAAGGGCCCCACTATATCCAGTGACCAACTGAAATTACATGGAGTTGCTCACTGGCATTTCCAGTCTAGAATCATAGAATGAATCATAGAATGGTTTAGGTTGGAAAGAACCTTGAAGATCATTGAGTTCCAACCCCCCTACCATGGGCAGGGACACCTCCCACTAGACCAGGTTGCCCAAGGCCACGTCCAACCTGGCCTTGAACACCTCCAGGGATGGGGCCTCAACAACCTCTCTGGGCAACGTGTTCCAGTGCCTTACCACCCTTAAAGTGAAAAACTTCTTTCTAATGTTTAATCTAAACCTGCCTTCTTCCAGTTTATAGCCATACCCCCTCATCCTATCACTACATGCCCTAGTAAAAAGTCCTTCCCCAGCTCTCCTGTAGGCGCCCTTTAGGTACTGGAAGGCCGCAATAAGATCTCCCCGGGGCCTTCTCTTCTCCAGGTTGAACAGCCCCAGCTCTCTCAGCCTCTCCTCATAGGAGAGGTGCTCCAGCCCTCGGATCTTCCTTGTGGCTCTCCTCTGGACACACCCCAGCAGGCCCAGCAGGTCCATGTCTTTCTTATGTTGAGGACTCCAGAGCTGGATGCAGTACTCCAGGTGAGGTCTCATGAGAGTGGAGTAGAGGAGCAGAATCACCTCCCTTGATCTGCTGGCCACACTGCTTTTGATGCAGCCCAGGATATAGTTGTCTTTCTGGACTGCAAGCACATATTGTTGGCTCATGTTGAGCTTTTCATCCACCAATACCTCCAAGTCCTTCTCCACAGGGCTACTCTCGATCCCTTTGTCCCCCAGCCTATATTGATACCAGGGGTTGCCCTGACCCAGGTGCAGGACCTTGCACTTGGCCTTGTTGAACCTCATGAGGTTCTCAAGCTTGTCCAGGTCCCTTTGGATGACATCCTGTCCATCAGGCATGTCAACCGCACCACTCAGCTTGGTGTCGTCTGCAAACTTGCTGAGCGTGCACTCGATCCCCCTGTCTATGTCATTGATGAAGATATTGAACAGTACTGGTCCCAGTACAGACCATTGAGGGATAGTTACTGCCAAACTTAAATGAGAAAAACAGAGCATATGAAAGCATTTTTAAAAGATAAAGAGCTAAAACTTTTTTCATGTGAGACTTTTCAGTTACTTCAAACTGTGTAGTATAGCTTCCAACAAAACTCACCTCATCAACACCCAGTGGTTTTCTGTGAGAGTGTGTTCCAGCTCCTGGATGCACCCAGTCAGTGTCATTATTTCGGTTATCTTTTCCCTGAAGCAGATTAAATTTGTGCAGAACTCCTTCAGCTGTGCCTTTGAAAGAGTGCCTTGGTGACATTTTGGCATTGTCAATCTGTCTAGTCTGCAAGCCTCTGTCTTCATCTGCCAGTTCCCTCAGGACCCGCGGATGTATCTCATCAGGTCCCATGGACTTGTGCACTTTCAGGTTCCTCAGGTGGTCTCGCACTTGATCTTCATCTACAGTGGGCAGTTCTTCACTTTCCCAATCCTCGCCTTTACATTCTGTGTCATGGGCAGTGTGGCTGCAGTCCTTGCCAGTGAAGCCTGAGGCAAAAAAGTCGTTGAGGACCTCAGCTCTGTCTCTGTTGCGGGTAACCAGTTCTTGCGTTTCCTTCTGGAGAGGGCCCACATTTTCCCTAGTTTTTCTTTTCTCGCTGACATACTTAAAGAAGGATTTTTTGTTTGTCTTAATGTCCCTGGCCAGATTGAGTTCTGTCTGGGCTTTAGCTTGTCTAACTCGATCCCTGGCTGCTCGAAAAATTCCTCTGTATTCCTCCCAGGCTACTCGCCTCTGTTTCTACTGCCGATAGGCCTCCTTTTTTCTTTTCCAGGAGCTCCTTGTTCATCCATACAGGCCTCCTTGCTTTTCTGCCTGCCTTCCTCTTTGTAGGGATGCACGGCTCCTGAATTTGGAGGAGGTGGTCCTTGAATATTAACCAACATTCTTGGGCCCGTCCTCACTCCAGTGCTTCATCCCACGGCACCATACCAAGCAGCTTCTTCAAGAGGCCAAAGTCAGCTCTCCCAAAGTCCAGGGTGGTCAGCCT